GAGGCTGCTTTGGAGCGAAGTTGAACGATTTTTCAGCCTCGAACATGCAGCTGTTTTTCGCGTTGGAACGAAGAGGCTGCTTTGGAGCGAAGTTGAACGATTTTTCAGCCTCGAACATGCAGCTTGTTTTCGCTCTAAATCGAGGAGGCTGCTTTGGAGCGAAGTTGAACGATTTTTCAGCTAAAAACATGTAGCAATTTTTTCGCTCTGGATCGAAGAGGCTGCTTTGGAACGAAGTTGAATGATTTTTCAGCTAAAAACATGCAGCTATTTTTTTCTCTCTGGATCGAAGAGGTTGTTTTGGAGCAAAGTTGAACGATTTTTCAGCCTCGAACATGCAGCTGTTTTTCGCTCTATCCCGAAGAGGCTGCTTTTGGGGCGAAATTGAGCGATTTTCAGCTACGAATATTCAGCTGTTTTTCTCTATGTCGGAGAGGCTGCTTTTGGGGCGAAATTAAGCGATTTTCAGCTACGAACATGCAGCCGTTTTTTTTTCCATCCCGAAGAGGCTGCTTTTGGGGCGAAATTGAGCGATTTTCAGCGACGAACATGCTGCTATTTTTTCTCTATCACGAAGAGGCTGCTTTTGGAGCGATTTTTGGACTTATTTTGCTCCTTCGGAATAAGTGACCGTAAGTGTCCCCTTACTTATATATGCAAGTTCGTGTGTTGTGCTGGAAGTCCAGAATTCAGCTTTAACAACAACAACAACTAGCTTCAAATTGGTTCACCACTTTCTTTTTCTGGCCTGTCAGCTTTTACCTGCTAAAAAGTCAAGAGCTGTCAGTGTATGGATGTTTGGAGAACGCGCGGAAATTCCCAGACAGGAACGGAAGTGGCACGGGTTCTCTTTCTGCAGGAGAATATGCAGCCAGAACTTTCTGCCCAAGCATGTGCATGCTACCGGCTGAAGGTTGCTATGCGGCGTTCGATCGTCAAAATGTGCCTCAAATCAAGTTGGAACTCCAAGTTCGACTTGTAGGGCGAGGTTGGTTGCAGAAGGCGAAGAGAGAGAAGGGACACAGGGTATTCGAACCCTGAGTTCTGGAAGTCTATGGATCTCTAAGCTCAAATCTTGGCTTTGGCTTTAAATTCAACTTGGGTGTACATCTATGACGTTTCGTTTTCCAAAATTTCATTTTAGTTTGCTTCAAACCCCGCGTCTTCAAAAGTCTTTTGCGTGTTGGAGAAAACGTGCTTTGCCTTCGACACCATCGGCTTCAAAGGTCGCTTCAGCACCCTACTCTTATTTTCCGAAAGCGAAAACGTTTCAGTAATACTTCAATTTGTTTTTGGACATGCTTCTTTTTTGTCGGAAAAAGACGTTTCACTGATAGTTTTTTGGTCGCTGAATAAAACGAAGACAACATGTTTTGCCATGACTTTCCCTTTGTTGAATTTGTCTGTCTTTTGTTTTTCGCTTTTGGCTTCCCCCAGAGGCTTGAGAAGGGCTTGAAGCTTCTACAGGGAACAAGCACGTTGATTCCCTCTTCCTCAGCCCCCTTCAAGCCACTTCTGGAGGCTTCGTTCTTCGTCGCACGAGGTCACGGAATGGAGCAGGATGACCATGTCAACCGTTGGCCGATCAATCCCTTTGACGTTCACTTTGGACTCAAGGCCAAGGGTTTTCTGATGGACTTTTTTTTGACATCGCATCCCGAACCTAACAACTATGTCAGCAAGCTCGACATGAGGAGAGTTGAGGTGTAGCCGTGATATACGAGGACTAACATATCCGCGCCGTTAGGAAGCAATGTTGGTAGCGTGCAGATATTCCTTCTTTATGCAGGAAACGTATCGGCTATCGAAAGTCTCACTGGTTGGTTTTCGCAGATGGAACAAAACATCGGTTTTAAGATCTTTCATCAGCTGATGTGCCGGAAGCAGACTTCATGCATTCGTCTCATTCGGTTTGAATGAAAGTGACTTTTCATCGACCGGGAATGGAGGGTTCGCTGGTTTGCCATCGATCGAATTAAACTCAGTGCATGTATCGGAGTGTACCGATGTTGAACCGATGCTGGTTCGGCTGTATCTTGCTGGACATTTGTTTCATGCACTACATGCATATCTCGTTGCCTCGTGTTTTGCGCGACTGTGTTTTTAGGGTGAACGTCGTCGAACAGGCTTGCGTCCCGGTCCGGAATTACTTTGTCGAGCGCATCCTCACACCAAAACCCAAAGAGCATGCCACCTGGGTTTTTCGACTTCACGAAAGCTCAGTGTACAGAATGGGCAAGCAAGATCCTGCAGGGAATTCGTACGAACATGCAGTTGTTGCTGCCAACTCTGCATCATGAATGTGTGAGTCGTTGCTTGGCAGGGCAATGTGTTAGTTAACATGTAATCTCACATGTTTGAATCCTCTGTGCGCTTTCAGTGTGACCGATTAAGCAAGCCCCTGCAGCCCCTGCACCAGTTGTCAAACGCATTCCCGAATTGATGGCGCGTTTGCCGCGGCTTGCAGGGAAAATCGTGCATTGCAGCCGACTGCCTCAAGATGCAGCCTCGGCGACGATCTAGACATGAAGCACCGTAGATTCGGAGACTCGCAGGCACTGTACCGCAGACGATTCTTGTGGTGTGCTGCACACACGTTCAGTCCGTGCGATGTTATGATTCCATGTCATGTTGGCTCGGCAGTCGGCAGGATATGGTGCAAGCGGCCGTCGGTTTCCTTCTTGGTAGCAGTATTTTGCACTGGCCTTATCGGCAGTGGGTATCGGAATCTCAGCCCCGAAGCTTGTGCGTCTTTCCCTCTCTGCTGTCGTTGTCGGTGTCGTCGTCGTCGTCGTGATCGTCGTAGTCGTAGCCGTGGTCGTAGTCACGGTCCTCGTCCTCGTCCTTGTCGTCATCGTGGTCGGAGTCGGGGACACTGTCGTAGTCGGTCGGGGTTGTGGTATTCGAGGTCGTACATCATTACGTTGCGGTCGTGGTTACTGTTTTTGATACTGTTATCGTTAAATCTTGTTCTTCTTGGTTTGTTACCGTTGTTGCCGTTGCCGTTGCCGTTGCTGTTGCTGTTGCCGTTGTTGTTGCTGTTGCTCCTGCTGCTGGTGTTGTTGGTTGCTGTTGCTGTTGGTGTTGGTATTGGTTTTGGTGGTGTTGTTGTTGCTGTTGTGGTTGTCGTCGTCGTCGTCGTCGCTGCTAGTGTTGTTGAGGTGCTCTGCGTTTCCAGACAGCCCAGCCGACCTTGGTTGTAGCCTCATGCTTTACCTTGCGCTGGTTGGTGTCAATGGTTTTGAAATCGCTCATTCTCCGTGTTCAGGCTTTGACCGCGAGTGCAGTGGGTATGACGAGGAATGGGTGGCATCCCAAGCGGCAGCCGCCAACCTTCGCGACATTTGACGACCAAGAAACTGTTGACTAAGGGTCGCTGCCCGGATCTCGAACATTGTAACGGCCCCTGCGTGCCGCAAGATTGTCGGTTTGGTTCATGGCAGGACCGCAAGCAACGTGCGAAGTGTCACACTTCAAACGATGCCTTAGACCTCTCTCGCGAGGATTGGTATACATCTGGAGGTTGTACTGGCTTAAGGTACCGTCGTAGAGAAGTGAGAGCCCAAGCTTTTCATGCATGCGGTGCTTGCAGTCTAAGTCTGTGCGCTTTTCCTGCTAGGTCGTCACCGTGAACAATGAATGCGGCTACCCTTGCAAAGGGCCTGCCGTGCTCCTCGCTCGTCGTTGTGCACAAGCAATAGTAGTACGTGTCTGCCACGCCAGCACCATGTCTTTACAAGACTTTGTTGGATGGCTGATAAGGCCATTTAGTTTCGCTTTCTTGGGGTGCTTGCTTGACTTGTCTTGGAGCATGGCGTGACGGTATCTCGTGCCAGGTAGAGTCTGCGCAGCAACCCGGTGCTGCAACTGAATGCAGCCAGGATTTGGCAGCTTGCAAGTTTTCCGTACAAGGCTCAGCAGGGTGAGGCTGCAGTCATCTTCTTTGCCGCTGGACTATGCCAAGTTCACTGGTAGAGGTTTCTCGAAGTGCACAGTGAGCAAGATCATAATGGTCATAATGACCATGAGGCGAGAGTCGGCGAGAGCGCATTGCAGGTGCTGTTGGAATGTGTTGGAGTGGTTTCCTCTTTCCATATCTTGCCGGGAAGACTGCGCGGACTGCAGTTTGCAACGACGCAGCCGTCAATAAACACATCGAACGAATAGTCTTCAACTAGGACACCATGTGAAGGCCTCTAACCTTCAAAGGTAGAAGCTATGACAAATTTGCAGGTCGGAAGGGTCTTGGAGTTATGGCTTTACATAGAATGTCGAGCAGCGGGATTTTGGATAAGGCCTGGTCTTCCTGGACTTCTTGCAACTCGAGCCTGCAACTTATCCATCTCGGTTCTCCTTTGGATTTCTTGGGAGGATGCTCGCATCAGGTTTTGACCAATCAACACGGCACAGAGAGATCGAGGAGCCAGCAGGACCAGACGGGCAGCGCACCCAGACAGTCGCTTGCACTATTTCGAGGTCTGGCTTTTCACCATGGGGTTGGCCGAAAGCATGAGCTTCCAAATCAGCCAGCAGCTGTTCCCTCAATCAGCCTAAGCCGTGGACGCGTGCCTAACTTGAGGATTAGCAGAGGTTTCCACTGCTTGTCCTGCTTGGGTCTGCGGTCACAGTGCTACGACTTGTGACTTGTGGATTTGTCAGGGCAAGGACACGATTCTACAAGTAGCAAGCTGCTTGCACTGCATGCGACCAGGGATCCCTGCCACGGTCCCCTGGCAGAAACGAAGGCGGAACGGAAGTGCAAGCAAGAGATCAGGGAAGTTCGAAGTCCGTGGTTGTGGCGCGGTTGATACTGCTGCAGGCCTGCAGCACCGGAAATGCTCCGATGAGCTGCGCCTGGTCACAGTGGGGCTCCTGGGGTCGGCACGAAGCCCAGGGAGCCCACAACAGCCCGCACAGCGGTGCCTTTTCCCCCTGCTCAGGTGCAGCCTTTCTTGTGGGAGCGGTCGCTATGAGAGGAGCCCTCCTGGCCTGCGGAGGTGACCAGCGTTTTGCAACTTTTGCCAGGATGAGGCGTATTGAAAGAAGGTCGGATCCAGGCCCGGTTCAAGCTGCCACTCGGAGCGGCATGGGCCTGAGACTGTGAGGCGGTCTTCCTTGCTCCGGGGCTTCCCTGGAGAACGGTGCCTGCAACAACGGACCCTGCCAGCCAACCGACTGCAGGCCATGTGCATCGCAATGTGCAAAGAATGGAGGCTTCGTTTCGTCGCCTTGTCGAGGCTCGGCGACTGGTCCTCCTGGTCGGAGTGTGACGTGCTTCTCTCAGCTCGCCTTGGCGTTTTCTCTGCTTGACGCTGCACTGCAGGTACTTCACCCACAAAGATTCCGGAGACGGAATGTTGAAGTAGCACCAAGCAACGGCGGAAGTTTGCTGCTCAGTGACCTTGGTGTCCAGTGACGGATCTTCATGGCCTTGGATTGTCTAAGGAGCATGTGACAAATATCTGATTCAGCCCTGGCCCCAGTGGCATCTGGCGGATTGTGCTTTGTTTATACTTTCCGACAGAGAAGACAACTGCCAGTCGCAGTTGTGTGCCTGACACGATCAATCGCATCATGAAGACTTGCCATGGGCTTGTCACAGTGGTGAAAATATCTTGAAGTGCTTTCTCTGTAGCGGCTTTTGCACGGCAGCAACGCTGAGAGCAGCCACCTGTTTCTCAACTTAGGACCGTCCCTTGCTTTGCGCGGGGTGCTCGGCTGTCTGGTCAGATTTAACCTTTGCCCAGATGGAAGACCTCTGAGGCCCAACACTGCTGGACAGGACTGTGACATTGGAATGTGGTCGCGATGGGCTTGTGTGGGAAATGAGAATCTCAGGCTTGGGGCGGGTGTTGGAGCTCTGAGGCAATGGAGCGACTGCTCGAAGCCGCCGGCTAATCTGCCAGGGATTGGATCGCAGGAATGGCCAGCGCGGATTCTCAAATCACGCCTCTGAGGACCTGCGGCGGTGGCCAGATGTCTCGCAAGAGGCAGCTTGCGCCTGCCTTACTGTCAGGACGTTAAAGCCGCAAAGCATGCAATGCACCTGGCCTGCACACCGAGTTGAAGCCGAACACAGAGGGTGGCTTCTGCCATCACGCTGTCCTGAACTGATTTTTTGCTCTTCGTGACTTTGCTGGCTTTGGGGAAGCCTCCATGACTTTGCAGAAATCAGGTCCTCCAACAAGCAGAGCCTTGTGGGCCAGGGTCCCAGGGTGCCTGGGCCGATGCTCGAGCAGGACACGTACCGCTTTCTTGCAAAGGACGGATGACTGCAGATCTCCGGCGCCCAATGACTGCATCTTTGAGCATTGGGGAGCATGGCTCCGGTCTTAAACGATGATTCCGTGATTCCGTGTCGTGGAAGGCCATGTTGTCGGTTTGGAATGGAGACATATCTATTTCCACGTTTCAGAATGCCAGGATCTAATCCCACCTTTAGGATCTGGGCTTGGGGCACGCACAAGACATGGTCACCAGATCACTGGTCCTGGACGGAGGATGTTGGACTGCCAGTCGTGTCAACAGTTGTTTGCTTTTGTTTCATGTCGTGCTGAAATCAATGAGGTCAAACTGTGATGCGCTCTGTGGCAAGGGCACCCGCGAGCGGACGAGGAAGGCCGTCGGTAGGTAATTCTGTGACGGTTTTGGTCGGCAAACGGCCATCAATGCTTTTTGCTGCTGACTGGTCTATGCATGTAGCAGAATGAACAAGTTCCAGACACCTGTTGGGGTTGGGCGTCGTCGGAGTGTCTCGATTTGACGGCGGTTCCCGTCGCACCACGGCCGCTCAGGCAAAAAATGATCCTGTGGACCCACAGCACCGGACTGACGGTACCACGTTTGTCGTTGTGGCAGCAGCGACAATGCTGCACTCCCCTGCAAAGAAGAGCAACATCATGCCATGGAGGGGTGCATTTCCGAACCGAGACAACGCTCCAATCGTAGCAGTAAATATGATTGCTTCCTAGCTTTTGAGCATTTCTAGGTTGAAGGACTGACGGTCCTGTGTGAGAAGTGCTCCATCTTGAGCGGCTCTCGCGGCCATTCGTCGAAGGATGAACCATGGGTCCCTTAGGTTGCATTCCCGATGCAAGCAACACAAAAGTAGCCAGCAGATGAGTTTATGTCGAACGACTTCCAGGCTAGCTTATGCATTCAAGGCTCATGCTGCTGCAGAGAGCAGAATCAGAGGTCCCAGATTGGAGGGAAGTAGAACAAACCAATGAGGGCCACGACACACCGCCGCTGCCCCCGTATTCTCATCACGGTTTTTGCAAGCATTCTGTGAGTGGTGTGCTCTGCATGACATCACACAAGACCTTCCGCTTGTGCAGATAGCTGTCTTCGCAAGCGGCGATGGACGGGGCTGTTGCAGTCTTGGTGGCATGCGGTGGCACGTTGCAGCTTGCAAGCCAGAGCTCTGAGGTGAAGGGGCCACGCAACAGCTGTCAGAGTGTCAGCTGCAGACCTGCGAGGCTTTTCAACGTAGCTGAACGTTGTCGCTGCATTGAGAGTGAGAGTGAGTGGAGTGTGGAGCCCACGATTCTGAGAGCCTTCAGTCAGGGGGAGTTCGGAGCATCGGGGCGAGAAAGGTTTTTTGTCGTGGGTCAGCGTCAGCGACTTTGCAGCGGAAGACAGCAAGGGCCGATGTGTAGACAGACCATCAAGCACGACCAGAAAGATGAGTGACGACTTTCATTTCCCTTTGCAGTAATTCATTTGTCGGAACTCGCTCAACTAGGTGAACGAGAGAGGGGCACCGCATAAAACGAGATCAAGTATGTTTTTTTGACACGATGCATTCCTGTCTGAAGTCGAAGCTGAAAGTGAAGTTTGTGCGGCATGATTCTGTCATAGACACAGCTGGTGCTCTTGTGTTCTGACATAGATGTTTGGAATGACTTCGGCTAGGTGTTCTGTCATAGACGCATCTTTCATCTGTTCTGTCATAGACACCTGGTTGGGACGGATTGCTCATAGTTAGTCATAGGCAAATCTTTCCCACGGCACGATGCAGTGTCGCGGTCATTTTGGGTGTGATATAGTCGGATCGAAACAAGATAGGAAACCAGATCGCAGCGAGATGCAAAACATTGATGGAGTCGGCCATATAAACCCGCCATATAAGCCCACGGCCCATTCACCACCACCACCACCACCACCTCCTCCTCCTCCTCCTCCTGCTGCTGCTGCTGCTGCTACTACTACTTACTGCTGCTATTACTGCTACTACGACTACTACTACTACTACTACTACTAGTACTACTACTACTACTACTACTCCTGCTGCTGCTACTACTACTACTATTACTACTGGTGCTTGTTGATTGTTGTATTCTAGTAATAATGTTACAGCTCGTTTAGTTGAAGCAGCGACAGCGACAGCAGCTGAGAAAGCCTCGATATCCCGAATGACAGATGATGGATGAAAAGAAATAAGTACGGATATGGTTGCAAGATTGAAGCATCAGCTGCTGACGATACTCGAACGAGATCGAGAGACGATTAAACACGATGAAACGAGATAGGGGCACCATTCCGAAATAGGCAAGTAGCTCGAACCTTAAATTAAACGCAGCGGTTCAGATAGTGAGTACCTAAAATCTCGCACGGGGTCCATCAGAGAAGAAGGAGAGGAGACAAAGAGCGAAAGGAGATAAGTATCAGGCATGAACATGCGGAGAAACATGAAATCAATCCCAACCACCAACATCTGTGTCCTGGAGTGGTCATGGGTGAAGTTGTTGCATTTGCGGATGCCGCTTGTTGTGTAACACATCTTTGTGTGAAGGGACAGGCTCGGTGCATCCGAGGCCTATGCCGTAGCTGTCCGCTGGCTTTGCGTCGCCCGGCGTTTTTGCACTCGTAGATCTTCTCCTTTAGCCATGTCGATCCCTCGACGGCCGAAGTTATGGCGGCGTCCGACGTCCTCCGCACTGCGGTTGCAGCCGGCGAGGACATGGCATCGCTCTTCGGCGGATGGTCTGGCCAGAGGACTACGACGTTGAGGGCGACCACGGCGACGTCATCTGGTGGTTTCGCAGGGCCGGCGGACCCACATAGCCAGAGCCCCCGGCGGGAATGCATCAAGCGTCTCCTTCGACACCCTGGAGGGCTCTAGCGGCGACGGGTCCGCAATCATCAGCAAATCGGCGATACCGGCCCTAATACCGGCGCTGGTTATCGGCCGGCCAAGCCGACGAGGCCGGCGCCTGCTGCCAAAGGAGCACCTCCGGGGCTTGGCGTGAGGATGCGAAGAAGATCGGCGAAAACTTATCGCTGAACATCTTGTCGGCAGAGGATCACTCGACGCTGCCCTAGGTCATCGGCACCCCATGGCACCCCGACGCCGGTGGCCCCTCCACCCCCGTCGATGGAGACAGTCCAGGCGAGGTGGGACAGGGAGCTCGCGGAGAACTTCGCGGCGCAGGCGGCGGCACTGAAGGTCAAGGCCGCTCGCTGTGTGTTTGTATTTTGTAGTCAGCAGTGTTNNTAGGTTTGGGAGATTGCATCGCATCGCTTGCCTCGCAACGCTCTGGCCCAAACAAAGGAAACACACATATGCGTTTAGGCAGCAGCCTAAACAAAATTTTTCTACCCACCCTCCACACCCGATGGGGGGAATCACGCAGGACGCGCTCGCTCTGCATTCTTGACTTTCCTTCGAGCGCGCACTGCTCCGCACTGACTCAGCAACTTCAGCGGAAAAAGAGAAAACGTGCATCGGTCTTTCCTTGCGTGCGTTAACCTTATCGTACCAACCTAGAGTCCTAGAGAACATAGCAGCTCAATACCCGCCCGCCATCCCGACGACTGACTTGCCACCTTGTGTTCGCCGCGGTCGCGGTCTGCGGATACTGAAGAGAATGTGCTGGCTAGGTCGTCGCAGGCTGGCAGTCTCGTGTACGCACATGCGTCGAGCTGTCCCGCTCCTGGGCCGTCGCCCCCTGGCCCATCTCGGTCGAGGCTATCCGCAAGGTCGGTCACATATCAGGTTCCGTGGCGAGGCAGTGGAGCCGCTGCTCGGGGCCATGATATGATTCACTTTATAAGGCTGTTCTCCGGCGGGGGCTCCCTGGCACCGGGCAAGGCGATGTTCCCGGTCGACAGGCTGCTGGCGCCATTGGCCCTATCCAAAAAGCCCGGCGGGATCGATCCGGGCATGGTAGGTGTGGATTACGGCCCACACCGTCGACACACTGCTGCTGGTGATGTGGTTACAGCCGCAAAGGTGCCAGGACCTCGAGGCAACCGCCAGCACGGTGACCTTGCGGGTCCCACTCTACAAGGTGGCCACAGGCGGCGAGTCGGAGATGACTCCAGCTTCGATGTGGCGCTTCGGCACATACGCCGACTCCCATCTACGTGCCAACGATGATCATGATCAACCAGTTTTTCCTCCAACTCGAACTGCAACTTGAGCCGCTCAACGAACATACCCTCCGATTTGTTAAGTGCAACGGAAAACTGCCCAAATTGCATCGCATAGGACATGCAATCCGAACCTTGAAGCCAACTTTTTTCCGTCGGCACCCGTTTAAAGATCGACATCTGAAGCAGTCAACATCGTCGTCACAAAATGTACAAGTCAAAAACTCATAATTGTCTGACCATCTACACCGATTTCTAGAGTCTAGTCTCACCATCTACACCGATTTCTATCTTCTGATTGCTTTTTATATATGTCAGCAGCTGCTTGGGTCAAGAGCTTGTTGCCGTTTCTTCCATGAAATGCACAGCGTCGCCAGCGGGATTCCCTACAGACATCCAGCTCCATGTTCCACCAGACCGCTGCACTAAAGGACAAGCTATGGCGAATCATCGCAACTACGTTTCCTCGGACGTCATCGACCAGGTTAAGACAATCCTACAACATCGTGTCAAAGCTGCCACCAGTCGCAGTCCACAGCTGTCATCGTTTCAATTGCATCGAGCTGGTCGCCATGTAGCACGAATTGAGACCGTCTCTACGACGTTGGAGCCCGTTTTCTTCGTACGAGTTGCACCGGATGCAACCCTGTTACTAAAGGGTAGGACTGGCAAGGATTTCTGAATGTTCTGCATTTCAGCAAAGGGCAACAAAGAGTCCACAGTTCTTCTGCCAACGAAGACGGCTGTGGATACTCCGTGCAACAGCTCAGGACGCCAATCTGTGTACCTGCAACAGAGTGCTATGCATTTTTCTTGGACCATGGTGATGGGGCTAAGCCCAGAACCCAATCTTCGAGTGCATGCTGATTTCATTGCTTTGATGTGTTTGCCGCCACTGTGGCTTAACATCTTCACTTCTGTAGAGAGTATCTAAAAAGAACATGTCAGTCAGAGGGAGGATTGTACGAGTGTGTTTGTTTTCCTTTTTCGATTGCTTGATGGTGTGAGAGAATGAGAGAATGCCAGCGAGGTTGAAGTGGCGATACCAAGCGCATACGACACGCCTTGGATGATAGACTTTCTGCGCATTTTTCGGGCAATTGGTGTGTTGGAACGAACCCCTGCGCTGCACAAAGAGGGCCTGTGGGCATGTCGCATGATCATGTGCATGATTGATGCGTTTTGCTTCTCTTTCCGATCTTTATGATTATCAACGGGCAAATCGTACTGATGAGCTTCCGATCTGTTATGTGTCTGGGTGCCGCAGTGCACAGCTGCAGGTAATGCCCCCCACTTCCGACTGCAGGAACCTCACTCAACGAGGGTTGCCGAAACACCTCACGTCTCTAGAACTCTTCAGTGTGGAACGGTAACAGAGGCCTTTTGCACAATGCAAGGACCGTCAGGGCATTGCAGAATGCAGGCACCTTGCTGCTTGCCAGATTGATGTAGCTGCACAGTGATAAATGACATCAACAACATATGCAAACCTCCTGGTGCATTGATGATCCTTGCTTGAACGTTTTCTCACGTAGTTTTTCACACATGTGCTCGGTGTTTTTATGCACAGTAGTGGACACCACACGTGGTCAATATCCCAACTTTGTCTTGGCCTTGCACGCACTCCATCATCTTCATCGAGCACGATTTCGCTATCATGGTTTACCTGACCATGGAAATGTGCGGATCATCGATGATCACAATTCCACGAACCTCATGACCAAACCAAGGTTCAGGCGTGTATGTGTGCACGTCTAGTTTATTTGCAGACTCGGCTTCATGTGCAGACTGGGCTTGCAAACGTTTGCAATTCCTGGCAAATGAAGCACGGGTTCGACATGCGCAGGTCGTCGACTGCCAGTGGAGCGCAGCGGGCCAAGCCGCTATCGATCGGCTCATCAAGTGTTTGTAGCTACCATATGATGTCAACGGACTTAATAATGCACGGGTCGGGGGCATTGAAGATCACATTTGGATGCAGAGGATTTGCCGTGATGATGTACTGGCCAAGGCTATGCTGTATTTCATTTGTGAACGGTGCCGTGAACTCCTGTAATTTCCACTTTTACAGACTTTGCATGTCATGAGTCAATCCCTTTGGTGTGAATGTGCTGATGTCGAGTCTTGAACCCAGGGGGAAGGATGGCCGCAATGAGGTCACGGGGTCAAGCTCTGGCCAGAAGGCCGTAAACAGACGGAGATATAGCAAAAGAGTCGAGACACACGGCAAGACGGCACAAGTCAAGAGCATGCCAAGCGCCGTGAAGCAGACCAGCTTGATGTTTTCAACGTTTGGGTACAAGATGTCAAGCTTGCGCCTAGTACCAGAATTAGGGAAAGCCGTTTTGCGCAATGCTGAGGAGTGGTGGGACTGGTCGGTTTGCTCAGCTTCCTGTGATGGAGGAACGAAGCGCAGCAACCTCAGTCCAGATGGTAATCGATGAGCTGCGTGGTTTTGGAACAGACGCAGGAAGAGTCCTTGTGCAATCGAGGGCGATGAACAGAGCCTGCAGAATCAAAGCAAAGCTTCGACATTTGCAGTCCTGAACCGTCTGCATCAGACAAGCAGTGAAAGGTTTACGACTGTGCTTAACTAGTCCGAACTGTCGCTTCCTGCTCAGCATGGGTTGAACTCGCCGGCAGCTATCCATCGCGACCGATTGCTGGAATTGCAAGCAGCAGCTGCAAGCATATCTTGCTGAGTTCCTTTCCGCATCGGGTGAATTCAATCCGCCTCCGTTGCACTTCAGTTTTTGTTTGAGTAGTAGTTGCTTTCCGATCAGGATATAGACTTTCTTCAATCGTGTGGATGCTCGGGTGGTCGTCACTGCAGTGCGAACAGCAACAAAAGGTCATCATGCCCTTCTCGTCGACAAAGGATTGCACAACTGTTCCCTTTTACTGTCTGAGAAGTGCAAGAAGCTCCTGAACATCTGCGCCGTAGGCACTGCGCATATGAATCGTCGTATATCGTCGTGTCAGGTCACAACCCCGATTCCACCGTTTCCTCAGGTCGAGAGAGAAATGTGGCGGTGGCACCGCAGCATGGTGGAAGGCCTTGGCACGTGAAAGATGAATGCAGCTGGCCTGCGCAGTGGCTTGCAGTTTGTGCTTCCCCAAAGACAAGAGCCAGATCGCGCCGTCGGCTAAACCGATGCTGATGGATGTTGATGGGCAATAGGTGACATTTTTCAGCTCACTGTCCTGAGGCCTTGCAACACGGAGTCCTGTGACGCTGCGTGCTTAGATGGTCCGGGCCTCAATACGATCATGTGCAAAGTCATTCCGGTATCAGGAAGTCGCCAGCGGTTCTAGAAGTGGATGTTTACTCTGTTGAAGCCCCTGGTATAATGAAGCTCTCGGTTTTTGGTTTTTGTTTGGGGCCTGCAGCAGCTTGGCGAGGGCCTTTGCAAGTGGTAAGGATCGAGTGTGGAGCCCCGCCGGTGGTAAGAGCTGCAGTTTGATCTAACGGGGCGGCGTGCTTTGAGCTGTGTCTTGCTGCTGTTTGTCAGCTTCCAATGAATGTGAGTTTCGCTGTCCTGTCTGTCTGTCTGTCTGTCTGTCTGTCTGTCTGTCTGTCTGTCGCTCTCGGTCTCCCCCTCTCTCTCTCTCTGTCGCTCGCTCGCCCTCTGTTCATGTTTCCCTCCCGCAAAGCTCAAACTTATCTTTAATGGATTGTCGCTCTCTTTCGAGATCAGTCTTGACCTGGACCTGCGAGCACATCCACCCACTGTACCTTCTACTCATCCTTCCCTGAAGTCACATTCGGGGCTCTTCCCGAAATTGAGATCGTCTCGCTCTTGCGGCGGATGTCCAACACTTCGACAGCGCTGGTTCGGCGATTGCAAATGCCTCCAGCTATAGGGCAGTTCCGACTTCTGGCTCCAATGAATGAATCTCGACTTTGTTTTTTAAGAAGGGCACATTCCAACATGCTGCTGAACCACTCCTGGCCCTAAGCGCAGCGGTTGCAGAAAAATTGCAGAAAGGAAGCGGCCACGGATCCGTGTCAATGGCTGCATCAAGGTCTGAATACAGCACGCCATGAGTCGTCCACTCTCAGCACCTGCTGGCACGCTGATATTCGGATTGATCACGAATCCACTGCAGCTGACGAAAGATCTTTCATATGGGGCGAGTGTTCATTTCAAGCTTTCGAGGAAGCATGCTAGCGTGATCTAGCGTGTCGCACACAGACTTTATACCTGGGACAGTTGCAGTTCGATACACGGAGGCGCAGACTGCGGCGTTATGCAAGCGGCACCGCTGCATTATTTGCTCACGATGGGAAGAAAGGGAGTGGGCACCGACTTCAAACGGACGCCAGCAGCGCAAATAGTCAATGCATGTGATGATTTGATGTTGGTGGCTCAGACGTGCCCGGCCGTTTCACAAGAAGTGACTTGCGAATTAGCGCCTTCCTTCTCTCAGGAAATCTGTGTTCGTGGTGGGAGGACCGTTTTCATCGCACCATCGACTCTTCGCACATGGTCTCGTCTGTAGCTCTCGTCATTTCGATCCTGACCATCCTCCTACTCATAGCATTGCTTCAGCACCTCCCTGGTGCATCCATTGATGATCATCCTGTACACGGCTGGGTATGGTCATCGCACGTCGCTCGGCGTTTTGCTTCCACATTGCATGCCAAGCATGGTGGCGAAGCGGTGGCAAGGACGTATCCACGCTGCAGTCGCAATCTTACTTGTAGAGGCAGTCCAGCACTAAGCCATGAATTGAAAAACAAACGCTCGCACCATGTGGCAATGAGCGTCAACAGCAAAAGATTCAAGCTTGTCCATTCGCAACATGTCCAGTCCCATGTGTATGCAGAGTCTTTTTCCAGTGGCGTGTCGAACAGCACATCGGCAGCAAAGCGGTGTAGATGCGAAGATGAATGATGGGCACAGTGTCCAGAACAGAGGCGGCCCCTCTGCCCCTGCAACGTTAAGATTGTGGCACTGACCGTGAGAAACCGGCATAAATAATCACACATGGGGGGATGTTTCTCATGGAGGCAGTGGGTGAACGGGCTTTGGTCCGTAGACTCCGTAGACCATTACATCTAATGCTGCTCTGCCAGGTGAATGGAGTGAATGGAGTGGTTGGACAGATTGTGCCAGCCTTCGGCTTTTTGTTGAATTGCAACCATGGTGCCTGGTCTCGCTCAGTGTTGTGGGCTGCAGGTTCTGCAACATGTGGGACAGCTTACAAATCTAGACGTCGTGACGTGGCGGTCGGCAGCTCAGTGAAGAGGGGTTTCTATGCTTGAAAGTCTGGAGACAACAGCTATGCAGGTCCAACCCAGCCATTGTGGGAAGCCAGCGGTCGGGTTGCGCGAGGAGTACAAGGTAGTTTCCGGCTGACAGGTCATTACGTCGTGTGGCTGACTTGGCCAGGCTTGCGTTGACATGGCCGAATGCAACGTCGTTCAAGACTGCGTCATGGGCGAGTGGAATCACTGGTGTGCTGGCACAGCTTGAGCTCTTGAATCGCCAGGGGGAGAACCGGTTTATGCCATTTAGGCTTGATGCGTGTCGCGACAGGTCACAATGCAGTTGCAGTTGTTTCGGCATCCGGGAACGGAATCGAGTTATCGAGCGATTCGCGACTGAAGGTGGAGAGCCTCAGGCTCAGCTTGGCAAAGTGGAGTGACAGGCTATTGTCATGGTCAATTCTCGTGAGGTCATGCAATGGAACGGTCAAAGAGGTAGTGCCTTGCAACCCTGGTGTTGGGCACGATCTCCGACAGCAAACTTCAGTCCTGGAGGGTTTCGATGGCTAACCTAGCCTTTTTGGATAGGTTCTTGGACAATCTCTGATTTTTCGCGGCATGTTCCCATGCTCTGCCAAGGAGTCCTCAGAGCAATGTGGTGCTAACAGGCGGCGACAAGATTGTGCTCGATTCCCGTTTGAAAGCGTCGATGGGCAAGTTTGCGAAGTAGCTGCGAGCTGTGCGAAATAAAATTCAATCTAGTTCAGTGGATGTTTCCTCGAGGTCATGTCCGACTGGGAGCAGTGGAGCGAGTGTACAGTGCCTTGGCATAGTCCGAAGTTTTTTATCGAATAAATGACATCCTCCAATTGCTTGAAGGCAAGCTGTGGAGGCGGACAGACCGAACGTTCTCGACACATCGTGCTGTCATCAGCATATGGCGGCACGTACGTGACTCAGCAAGAGCCCAAAAGTCGGTGAGCTTACATCCAGAGAATTGCCTTTTCAGTCCCTGCAGCGGCGAGCTCGCGGAGATTGATCGATGTAGTGAGCTTTGTTCCCAGCGAGGTCTTGCAACTCTTGGAGTTCATGAAGGGTCATGTCGTCGCTTCAGGGAGCCTTGTCCAGAGAGTGGCTGCCACGACTGTAGCTGGGGTGCGGGATCCTCAGCCACTTTCGCAGATCTCTCCGGGTTCGGCAGACTGGCCCTTAGGCGAAGAGCAACGTGGTAGCTAGGCGAGCGTACCCAGGAATGGAGCCACTGGGGCAGTTGCTCCAAATGTGGCGGGCAGAGGCAGACGGCGCAGCCGACTTCGACGATTATTCTGCATGGATTTCGCTTTTCGATTTTTTCGACACTGCGCTGAATCAAGCAGGTTTCGCTTTCGCAACATCCAGCAGATGCCAAATCATTGCGGAAGGCTGACCTGCTGGGAGACTGGCACTTCTAGGAATGTGCAGCAAGCTAGGCCATGCAAGCCGATGGATGCAAAAGAAGCGGGAGCATGTCACAGCAAATGTGCCGCATGGCTGCATTCCTGCCTCGGGATGGAAGATGACACACGCTTCGGCACCGTTATCTGCTCTGAGGAAAATCCTCTCTTCTGTGCTTGGACATACTGGTCAACGCGAGATGGCCAAGCAGCGCGTGAGAGAGAGAGCGAGAGAGACAGAGAGAGAGAGAGAAAGAGAGAGAGCTCCCTCGAGCCGCCAGTGGGCATAGCCCTCTGGGGGAGTTCCGAAAACCCCGCCTTGACCTGCGGGTGCGCGTTCGCGCGCGGAGGGGTCAGGGTTCGCCCGCCTCTCCTGTCCCGGTAGAGAGAGAGAGAGAGAGAGAGAGAGAGAGAGCGAGGGAGCATATTTCCTCGCTGGGGGTCAAGGCAGGATTCAGCGATTTCCAGCAGCATGCCTGCTGTGAAGTGCTGGCCACTGCAGCTTGAAGGCCCCACAGACTTGTTTTCCACTCTGAAACGACGAGGCGGAGGGAGCCGCTTGACAAGCGGGTCTGGCGAGAGTCAGACCGTTATCTCGGGGAACGAGCAGGGAGGAAGACATGAATCAAAAAGAATAACTAGAGTTCAGAAAGAGGAGGAGAGAGAGAGAGAGGTGTGCATCCAGAAGCCGGCAATTTGCGTGATTTGTGTGCTTGCTTGACTGAGGTCAGAATCTTGTGACAAGTGTGGCACCACCAGCACGACACGCAACAGAGCATCAGACTCGGCAAGAAAACGAAGTGCAGCGTCGTGCAGGCGATTGACTTAAAATTTCCAAGCTTGAGGCCCTTGGTTTGACTTCCTACTCCACAGACTTTCTCTTCATGGCATCGGATGAGGCATCATGCGCCGTCGCCCCAAGAAAACACCTGATCTGGCCTCTGGCCTGATTGACTCGACAGATGTCCTTCACGCTGAGGCCGGGACGCAGCTCAACGTGAGCGCGTGCCCGATGAAAGAGGAGTGCCAGACGCACCTCTCACAGAGCTTGAGTATAGACAGCATTGAGACACCATGCATAATTTTGTCGGCGCCATGAGGTGTGTTGCTGAGAACTGCGAGTTTGGCGCATGGAGTGAGTGGCATGATCCAACATGTTTGGGCAAATCTCTCCTGTGTTGAACCAGGTGTTCCCGACCTTCCCAACAGTCCCTGTGGCAGGTCTGTGCGAAAGACATCGTGTCATCAGCCAGCACAACAACAACTGTGGCGTCGGCTGCACGGGTCGGACAATGCTGGATAAACGATGGCCTGCAACTCTGGAGATCATGCCTGGGAGGCCCTACGCTCGAGACGAAGACATGCCCCGTGGTCTGCCAACAAGAGCAGGCCTGTCAAACGAGAGGTTGTTTTTTTTGCAATCAACGAGACTGCCTCCATGGCCCGGCAGGATTGCAAGTTCGGCGATTGGTCTGAGTGGGAAGGGTCCATTTCTCAGTCAGGTGGTTGCACTTTGTGTTTGAACCATCACAAAGTCATGTGACATGTGTAAATAGCAAGCATTTGCACATGTGTTTCTTGCGGCACCGTCATCCGGTGAGGTTTGTAATCGGTGGGATAGATTAAGATATTTCATGGGCAATGAGTTCACAGGGTTTGCAAGCTGAATAGTCCGCACTACCATCAACTAGGAACGTAAGCAGAGAGGTTGATGACCAGAAGATAGCAGAGCAGGCATTATGCCCCTCATGCTCGTTTGCAGGTACATCTGACATTGATGCTAGGTTGGCGGAGTTGAGAAGGCTTTCCTGCAGCCATCAGGCAACTTAAAGCGTGGAACCCCTCTGTGACTCTATGCGGCATTGGAGCATGTTCTCCTTTGGATTCAGTTTCTGAGTGTATGGCTAACTGATTTCATCATATTCAGGGCTCTTGCAGCTTGCGATCTCTATACAGTCTTACTTTACCACCTTCTCTTGACGCATGGTCGACGGGAAGTATCTCCGGACAAAGTTAACAGCCTCCAGCTGCCATGTCGTTTCATTCCTTAAGCTTTGGTTTCCGGCATGCGACAGTTTTGGTATTCATGTTTGTCCGTTCCTTCCGGACTCATGCCTAGCTTTCCCTTATACGAACGTAACTAACCATCCCCACGCCTGCCCCCGCTCCCTTGCCCCGACTACAACCGGAAGCCCAAAACCACAACCAGAAGCCGTGTTCGCCAAGTAGGCCTGAATTTGTGCAAAACCCAGGATCCACACATCACAACCATCCAGTAGGCTCACCTTCTCCGGCGTTGTGGCGTGCATCTTGTTGCCCGCCTCTCCGAGCTGGCCCATGCCATTGGCCTAGGTCTTTATTGAACTTTAGTGTTACCCTGCACGTTTGCACTCTCTAGCCCTACCGGGTGCTCGCCGGCACCCGCATGTGGGGCTTGGTCAGCACTCCGTCTCCCCTTTCCACTCTGCAAGCGACCCGCACTGCCCTGAAGCTAGCCTCGACCCTGAGAGGTTCGGTGGGGTCGGAAGGGCCTTCTGAAGGTGTTTCGTGGCCTTCGGGCGAGCGGCAACTTTGCAGATGTTTGATTGGAGACAGACGAGGTTCCAATTTTGAGTGAGGGTCCTCGTTTGCCGCCTGGACAGCAGAACCCAAGTCTTGGTTGGTGCTCCCACCGACCCTGCTTTGATTTTGCGTTCAGGTTGCTCGCTCTAACGTTGTTGGACCTGCTCTTTCCTACAGGGGACCCTGCCAGTGCCGGCTTGTTAGGGGTTGTTTGAGAACTGTGCCTAAGCCCACATCCATTATGGAGCGCTTGCTGCCCTTGATCAAGGGGACTTATGCGACACCCGGTTTCCTGCCCTGCCTTGATCGGCTCCATGAGTTTGGCCCTCTCAGTACCGGGCCGTGGCATAAGTTTTGCGTCTTTTGGCCTTTGCTGGAGACTTCAATTTGGCTTGTGCTTTTCAAGAATGGACCTTAGCCGCCTTGCCACGGCCAGGGCGCTGCCGATCGGAACCATCACCTTTGCCGCAAGCGCCACAAAGGCCGCTAGGAGGCGGCCAGCAGCTTCGCTGCGTTCAAAGCCTCATAGTGATGCTAAGGCTAAGGCTGGCGGTCAAACTGTGCGGAAAACCTAAAGCTTCTTTCTCGGCTGGGTCAGGCATGTTTGAAGTGGCTGTTGAGCCCGCAGCAGGATAGCTGTATGGATGAGACCACTTTCAGAGCCCCACGGCAAGCTTGCTGCACAGCCTGGAAGATCAGGAGACCCCATCCTTTTTTTTGTGGTGTCCACCAATGTCGCCACTTGGAGGAAAGAGGTTCTTTTAAGTAGTGGTTTACGCAGGACGCCAAGGACCCGTCTGCCAGAATCATTGCCCGGATGAAGCCAGGATCCCACTGTGGGGAGCCACCCGTGCAACCATTAAAGCGGGCCTGTGTTGGGCTTCAAAAAGCGGCCCAGTGGTCAGCGCAGCTCATGCGGCAACTTCCTTTAAGTTTAACAAATTGACAAATTGACTGGCATCTATTACTGTTTGGTGGAGCTTACTTGCAAGCTCCCTCACGAAAGGTGTTTCACCTTGGTGACCCTTCTGCGTAACGGGGACGCCGAGCGGAAAATTGGCTTCATGCATGTGCTGCAGAACGCACTTGTCCCACTCCGGTGGGACATCATCCAGTGATGGGTGGAGTCGGTGAGGGAGGAACTTTGGTGGGATGCCACCATGCCCGGTGCCCCTCAAGCGAATGTTGCATGGGGGGCATGCGGGAAAAAACAAAGAAGCAACGGGTGTGGACGTCTGGACGTTCTACGAATCAATAGACCATGTAGTGGGAGGGTTTCCCCATCTCGATCTTGCGCCGCCTTGCGCCGGGTACTTGAAGCGTACCAAGGACCAAGATTGACACAAACCCCAGCAGGCATCATGCCGGTAATTCTGACAACGAGAGGCCTCATCGCAGGCTGCCCTGCAGCACCAATTCTGGCGAAGGTAGCTCCGGCAACGCCGTGCCAAACGGCCGTTTCCAACTCAGCAGCTGCTGGGGCTGACCTCTGGATTGATGACATTCGTGTTGGCATTGAGTCCAAGTCACTGCTGTTGCGGCCAGGAATGCGCTCGGGTTATTTCGGTTGCTGCGTGAGCTAAAGAGAGGCGGGCATTTCGCTTCCATACAGAAATTCATATTTCCTGGCGGGCAGCAACGAAGGGGATAAGGAACTCAAAAAGCGTGGTCAGGACTTGCAGGTCAGCAACAGCGGCAAGAACCTGGGCGTCCCCACGACAAATGCATCCTGGAAGTTAATGAGGTGAAGGCTTCGTAAACGATGAGCCAGACACAGAAAGTAGGGGTGTCGAGGTTGCTCCTCCAGCGCCTGAAGTGGAGATAGAACCAGGAGAACAACCTGAAGAAGAACTTGCGTGGACCAACGAGAGCGCTAAACCCCCACGGATGAAGTACATGAAAGGACTCGCAATGCGTTTGTTGAGTCGTTATCGTCTTTTTACCGATGGGCGATGTGATGATATGACTGTCCTGATGGGCCACAACAGTTGCTGTAGGACCGAGGAGTTTACACACCCCGCTCAGTACCTTGATCCTGGTTTCTCCCTAGAAGAAGCCACAGGTGATATCAAAGGTATGCGCAATCGCAAGGTTGTTCCATCTGATAGCCCGGTCACAGAAATCTGGAAGAGCTGTCCACAAGCATTCGCTGGCTACTTCCCACGCATGTTTCGCGAATGTCGCAGAAGACAGTCGCCACCGCCTGCGAAAATGATCGACTGCACACTGGCGCTCTTCGTTATGCCCCAATGAAGGTTCTGGTTCCCCTGCCGATTTGCGCCGTCTGGGTCTCCAAGACCCGTCCTCGAAGGTATTGCGGGTTTGATAAATGCCAGAATGGTGCAGCAGGCCATGCCATGGTTGCTTGCCAGACCGCAGCACGCTTACTGCAAGGGAGGGGAGGTTGCTGGACGAAGCGGTGGCAAGGGTTTCTCAACACTGCAGGGATATAAGATCTAGCCTTAACGAATGGGTGGATGGTGTTCATTCCACACGGTCTGGTAAGGCACCCCCTTCTTGCGGAGGAGGTGTTCTGCTTAGCCTCGACCTTAGCAGGGCTTTGGGTTCTGTCCTGCGGCAAGCGCCCAGCCAGAGTGACATCCGACATACGGGAGTTAGTGCTCGATCTTCGGTCATCGTCGGATGTCTAAAGGGGTGAGACAGGGGTGTTTTGTATCCTTTTTGTTGTATTACATCTTCACCTGCTGGGTCTTTGACTTGTTGGCATCCAGAACAGAAGAGTTCTGGGCGAGTACTTATGTCACGATGATGTTCGCGGACGACACTATGCAACCGTGGAAAGTCACCTGTGCCGACCATTTGCGAGTGTTGGACAGATTATGCGTGCCACTTTGTCATTGCCTGCCGAAGTAGGGATGACGGTCAATGCAGCTAAATCCAGGAGGGTTCGGAGGCTAAGCGATGGCTCAAGGCACATTTGCAGCATACGGCCCAAGGCCCGGTGCTGTGTCTTGGAACCCGCAGTCACCCAATCAACATACCAAGTGTTCAGAGTGTTACTTATTTAGGCGTTGAGGCATCCTTCGCAGGGATTGAAATGCAGACGTGCGCTTTGCGACAGCGTATGACGCAATGTCGGCATCGCTTGATTCGATTACTGCATTCCTCCAAGCTGGGGTCACGTCATAGTGCTGTTCTGTTTAATGCCTGTGTACGTAATTCACAGCTGTTTGGACAGCACGCTGCGGCGGTGATGCATAGGATAGACAGAGCGGACGCACGCCGTCTAAGAGCCATTGCCAGAAGCTTTGCGCACTTAACGCCCCAGACCAGCGAGGGGTTGCGTCGGCGATTGTGCATTAATTGTCCGTAACAGGATCTGCTGAAACTCCTGCAAAGTAGGGTTAGGCAGTTAAGCGTTGTCAAGATGATGAGTGTCGCAAGATGTTCCTGACCACGTTGCACCAGCGACTGTTCCGGCATTCTTCGCAGGAGTCTATCCCAGGGGCACCATCTTGCAGAGAACCGAGGTAGAGGCTGATGTCTTCTGCTCCGAGTGTGGGCAGCAGTTTGGTCACATGCGACATCTTCTGTCTCATGTGAGCTGCAAGCACCCAGAAGTTGAGATAGCGAGCAATCAGGGCAACCAACAGGATGCTGTGCCAACCTGCAGACAGTGCTCCAGCTGTTCCAAGCGAGTAGCGGATTTAAACGAACACTTGAAAGGGTTTGAAAAGGGCTTGTCCTATTTTGCATGGCGTACCGGCCGAAACAGCTGATAACGCTCTCGGGAGTGAGGTACTGCCGAAGGGTGAGGGATTTCTAATTACTGGGGTACTAGTGCCAAATCCCTGTTGCTGTGACAGCACCCGTGCCTTTACTTCAGGACACCGGCGGATGTTTCGTCAGGGGTGCAGGTGGAAACAGCGCCATGAACCGTTCGTTGCGAGACGTATGGTTTCGGCCCAATGCTGCGCCAGACACAAGGAATGACGTAGCTCGAATTGAAATGAGCATGGAAATCATATTAATAGTATGATGCTCTCCAAGCTATCCCCGCAGGGATCCATGAGCGAGCAATGAGGTGTGGGGGAGAGTTTCGTTGGACGGAGCTCCCTTACACCGCCTCCGTCCCCCTGCGAGATGAAAGAAAAACATGTATAGGGGAGTGAACCCCCTTAGTCAGCCTTTGCACACGCAAACACACACCCTTGCACCGGGTCTCTTGACCTGGAATGTCGTCGGCGATGTGTTTTTTCTTGTCTTTCTGCGTCTCGCTTACTCTTTTGTCTAGATACTGCATTAGATACTGCGATTTGCAGCATATGCCGATGTCTGGAATTACCGCTCTAAAAGCTCATCCAATGCTGCATTTACCGATGTTTGGTGTTAGAGGTCTCAGGGCTCATTTTTGCTGGTACGTGGGAGTGATCAGCTCCCGCGTCACAAGCATCCAGCAAAGGTCTTTGTTAGCACCGGACTCGTCGGAGGTGGATGAGATATAATTTTTGGTGCCAAACATGCCAGACCAAGGGAATGGCATACGACAACAAGATGAGATGATCCGTGAAGGTATGGGTCCTGCCTTCGCTTTGGGAGACACGACGGAATCACACAGCACCAAATGAGATGAAGGTGAACATGAGGATGAGGGTCCCGCCAGCTGCCCACGACAGGGCCCAGGCGCAGACCAAAGCAGGTACCTGTTTCCTGTGGCGTACGGGAAAATTTCGTTGGACGGACCTCCCCTACACCCTTTCCGTCCCCTTGCAAGAGATGATAATGACAAAAGCAAGGGGCCTGACCCCCAGGTCCAGAACGAGGAGAACTCACGCACACAGTGCCCAAAAGGGGCCCCAACCAATCGCACTTGCATTCACCGACCTTCACCCTAATGCATGAGACCTCTGCTTCACAGTTGCACATGATGTCCTGTGCGCATGCTCTTGCGGAGACCGGACAGAGTGGAGACATCGCAATACAATAGGCAGGACAAACTAGCGAGGTAGAAGCGCACACAGGCCACCCTAGATTTAACAGCAAAAGGCACATGCACTCCTGCCATGTTTGCCACACGCACCCGAAGGTGGGGGTCGAAGGTCCCATAAAGCAAAAAGAAAAGGCCTCGCGTCTCACATCAAGTGGCGGAATACCTTATATTATAGCTGAAACAGCGAGAAATTTCCTTTCCGCAACGTCCCTTTCCACACTTGCTTGGGCGGAAGGTGAGTGGAGAGGACAGCGAAGATGACGTGCGGTGAAAAAAGACAAAAGTGCAGTTGTTTAACGTCTCTTCCATGTTGCTGGCTTCAGCAGCTGCGCAGTTCTTGTTCTTTGAAGATTCAATGAAGTACGGCAGTGAGGGGAAGATGGGCGAAGTTGAAAATAGGATGGGCAAACATGTGAACAGAACAGTTTGAGAAGAAAGGCGAAAGGAAGGGTAACAAGGAAATCGAAGTCCAACTTATCGTTTCCACCCTGCTTTGGGAACAGGAAGACGGAGGGAAGACAAAGGTAGGATGAAGGCAGCAAGAAGGGACAGGACAATTTCTTGTGTTTAGATTTCGCTTTTGGTTCTCTTTCCCTCGGCCGCTTATGCACGCTGTTGTTGTCTAGACTGATCAAGCTTCAACACCAGGAAAAAGGCCGAAAGGAAACATGTACATGTTCATGCTTTCCTGAGACAGAAGACAAAAGAAGAGAGACATGGCTACCTAAGTTTTTTGGGAGGAACCATTCGGACAGATCCATTTAAGGCGGTTAACGTGACAGTCTTTCATCTTCCACGGTTCCCAGTGGGGAATCCTCTTGCAGACAGCGGCCACGCTACGCCAATGTCGTAACGTCGTGTAGCAAGCGTTACTTCGCAAGTATTTCACAAATAGGTGTGGGGTTAGTTGTCAAAACCTCCGCCAGACCTCTCGTTTCATAAGGTGTCAGTCAACGATGGGTGGCATTGTGAGGCGAGCTGTTCCTTGTGGTTGTTTGCTGCATCAGCCTTGATTGCAATGCTGGTCCAGTCTCCAAATGGACCGCAGCAGAGACATTGTAAAGATGCCGATGAATGGTGGCACGCCGCTTTCCCGGAGCACTAGGCCGCAAGAGAAAGTGAATTCTCTCTTTCGGAAGCACGGCTTGAGCACGGAAGCCATCCCATTCTTCGCACCCGTCGCGCCGCCGAGGCCATGCTCTGGAGAGATGACGCAGACCAAAGCCTGCCCGAAGGCCTCGCCACGCGCACGTGATCCGTGTTGCGACAGTGCACGGCTGTGCTCAGATTCCACAAAACTGCATCTTGGGGCCTTGGAGCAGCTGGTCGACCTGCAGCACCAGTGCAGCCCTTTCCACGCCGTCCCGCGTACCATTCTCATCATTCTGTGACTCTGAGGATGCGTCACCGGATGGCACACTCGAGAACGCGTGGTGTCTTGCAGTGGATTAGACGCGTAGGCGTATGGGCCTATGGATTCTGTGGAGGGTTGAATTTGCTGAGACCTGTGAACGCTCCGTCCTTGCGCGGCTTTGCTAAGGTAGATCAGCAGGCTAGACACGGGGGTGAGCCATGTGTGCAGTCCCCAGAGCTTTCTTGCAAACCTGAGAAGCCGAAGTGTGTCGGGATGCAGTTTACATGGTTTGATGACCAAGCTCATATCATTGGTTTTGATCCTTCCGCTCACTCATTCAGGGCTTTCGCGTTTTCTGCATTCCCTAGATGTGCGGCAAGGATATCGAGCTACGAAATTCAGCATGTTAGCAGACAAACCCAAGGCACCATTCAATCACGATCTAGGAACAGTGCATCATTGCTTGTTGACACATCTCGAAGCAGCACCGGCAGCGGATTTGTCCCACTTGCGTGACCTGACGTTGCAGTGACGCTGCATTACAACTCCTTCTCAGTTCGCCAAGACCTTTGGATCTATACCGTATACCTGATACCGTCCCCGGCGAGAAGGTAATGGGTAAGCTGTCGGATGTCTGCTAGTGATTCATCGAAGTCTACAGTCTGCAGCATAGTTGCAAGGTAGCCAGGTCTTCAAGTCTATCATTTGTATTTGTGATCACCACTGGTGGCCAAAGGCTGGACCACTCCTGGAGATAGAACCCTGCCCTGGAGACGCGGCCCTAGCGAGACAGAGGGAAGCTAGCCGTTGTAGCATGAAAATGGCACGAGATGCGAGGCCGATGAAACATGCAGGGCATCTGGCAAGGAGGATTGCAAGTGGGCGCTGGAGCCTTTGCACACGAAGAGCTGCAAACCATCTGCACGGCCAAGTGTGATGTCTTCAAAGGTCTTGGGAACAATGGTCCCATTGTGGCCTCGACGGGCAGATGTCCCGGAAGCGAACCATCGCACGCCTGCCATCTGCCGAAATCCCAGCAGTGTTACGCCTGAGTCAGCCCCGCTGAGAAGCTGTGGTGGTTGACTTGTCACGGTCAATAATTCGGAGCTTGGCAATCAAAACTGCCGTCTCTAAGAGAGTGCGGCCCCCCGCACTCCCCGCACCCCGCGGCTTCCACCTGCAACACTCTGCAGCTCTTCAGCTTCTTTGGGGGAACCTTTCTGTGCATGTTTTTGCGAGGCATTCCTGTCTTGGGCGCTCGGGCGCACATTCATGCCATGTCCAAATAAAAATCGTTTCCAAACGGCAGCTGCTTGTTGTTGTTGTTGGTGGCAGCTGCAGAATGTTACAGTTCCCTCTGGCTCGCAAGGGAAACAGAGGCACAAGCCGTGCTGTTTTTTTGGCTCGGCTGTGAATGGGTTCCTTGAGTTAGCGTACAGTTGGTCGGTATGAGTCTTTGGCAGGCACGAGTCACGTTGATCCACGTCTTGAAAAAGCGATGTCATCCCAACACCAGAAGTCCTTCGGAATTGGGTTTTGAATGGGTTGCATAAGAGCAAAACACAAGCAGCCAACATCGCCTGCAGGCATGTGGCCGCAAGTGGGAGTTTTGAACAAGGCTTGATGCGCAAACCGGTACTCGTGAAGACCCAGTAGCATGAAAAAGCCTGCTGGCTGTCCACGGCTTGATATCCTTTCTAGTGAGTTGCTGTGCTTCAGCGATGCCGGAGAGTGCCTCAGGTGTTTGGCGAAGCCTGCGCAGGGCCTATTTTGGAGACCGCATCGCCTGATTCCAAGCCTTTCATTTTGCTTATTGCTTATTGCTTGCAGTATGTGCATCATAATCAGCCCTGCTGACACTACAGGGTGTGTCACCTCTTGCTCTCTCTCGCTGTCTGTCTCTCTCTCTCTGTCTCTCTCTCTCTCTCTCTCTCTCTCTCTCTCTCGCTGTTTGTCTCTCTCGCTGTCTCTCGCTCTCTCTCTCCCGCTGGCTGTTTCTCTCGTTCTCATTATCTCTTTTTTTGTCTTGGTGTTTGTGATTTTTCCGTCCTTCATACGGTCGCGAGGCCGCGGGAGGTGCACCCCGAGTTGGACATCCGCATACCGCAGGTAAGTCGATGAGTCGTACTACTGGTCTTAGTGGGTGGATAGGTTGAAGTGAGTGGAAGGTCGACGAAATCGACTCTCTCCTGTCCGGCACGGACTTCGGGTACTTGCTCTTCCGTGCTGCACTTAGGGCTTGCGCAAGCCTTGAATAAGTCGATGGCGGATCCGTTACCCTGTATTGGGCCTGGGCTTGGGGTTTGCTACGCCTGCGATTGGTCCGGCCCTCAGTGTTAGGATTAGCTACTGTG